CAATGATTTGTCCAGCTACATACCAAGGTCCCCCAAGAAAAACATCATCCCTGTCTTCTCTACTCTCAAACCAACACAAGAAGCAATCCGATCCCATAGTAGTAACCTGTGTAAGCCCAAGATGACCCCATTTCCTTTGAAGCTCATTCTGAACAATAGAAAAAGGAAGACGACGTCCCAAAAGGCTTCCAACCAGTGTCCTGCTAAGCTTGCTAACATTTATTCTAGCTTCGTTAAGATCTAAATTTACCAGACCATCTTCTCTCAAGAAGCTACCAGCCTCATCAACCAAAGATAATTGTACTGCTGTGAACTTCTTCCAAGCATTAGCAGCTGCGCCAATCTCATCACCCTCCTCCTTAATCGACCTGGTTATACTAGGAGTCCGAGTATTCTGCTGGGAGCTAGTAGAGACATTTCCGAACCACAACCATCAACATCTTCATGTTCACGCCTAGACTCTTGCCCAACTTCTTTAACTGCATTTGGCATACCAAAATTGAAAACCGGCGTAATACCTTCCACTTTCTTCTCTGTCTCCATCACATTCCAGACCGAAGCAAATTTCTTCATATCTCCAATACGACTCGCATTGCCAAAAGTGAACAACACTTTGTTGGTTTCAAACATAGGATTATCAACCATCCTACCTACCTCACCCCGTTTATTGGACTCCCGCAATTCCTCCTTGGGATTCAACGATCCCTCCTGTATATCCCCCGTCATGCACTCCTGCAAACTTGGATTTAAACCAGCCTGCTCCATATCTATACAGGGTATGCTCACCTCCTTTAAGAACGAGAGAGAGAGAGAGAGAGAGAGAGAGAGAGAGAGAGATTGAGAGAGAGAGAGAGAGAGAGAGAGAGAAACTTTCTTTTCCTTCAAAACCTTTAAATCTTAGAAGAATTCATGTGTCACTTAATATTTTCAAAAGCTTGATTTCAAATTTCATGATTATGACAAATTACTTTGGTATATTATCTATAAGATTTTTTTTTCTGGAACCATGTTTTGAACGAATCTGTTTTTCTTATCCAAATATTTTGTTCGAGTTAGTTCTATTATTTTCAAAAGAAGTTTTTCCTTAGGAGAAGTCTGAGCTAGAGATAATAGGATCGGTTGTTTTACCATTTTTTGGATTCCGATAATGTTAACTCGTTGATTCTTACAAATTTTTAATTCAATCATATGGAAAATTTATCATATTCAAGCTTTAATAAAAAAAACTTTCTTTATCATTCTTTTTATGTCTGTGTCCTTTTTTGTATTATTTTTATTTGATTTCCATTTTTTGGGCCTTTTCTGATCATCTCCATCCACCCTCTGAATTTAAACTTTTTGTCACATCATCCCGGACGATATTCATATTGTCCTAGACGATCTGTTAAATTCACTTTCAAAATTCTATCAACTGTCTGTTCTGAACTTTCTTCTTCTTATCGTCTTGGATGATTCATTATTGTATTGGACGATCTGATCATTTTCTGCTTCAATCATTTATGATTGGCCTGATCGATCTATTTTCATCCTAGATGATGCTCTTCTCTTTTCTCAAATATTTGTAATTGTCCCATACAATCCACCTGTTTATCCTGGATGATACACGTGGCAATATGTTTAAAATATTTAAATTCGGCCGATATGATCCATTATTGGAGAATCATCCTGGACGATCCACATGTTCATCCTGGATGATACACATGGAAATGCATTTAAATGTTTTAAATTTGGCCAGTATGATCCATTATTGTGCATCGTCTTAGATGATCTGCTTTTTCAATGGTCGTTCTAGATGATATATGATCGCCTGGACGATAGGACAACCTTTTTGACCAATCGGCATGGATACAATTATTGTTCCTGATCGGCTTGGATAATTCTTCTATCGTCCTGGACGATTGGGCCTATTCTTTATAAATCAAGCCTTTCATACATTTTTTCTCACTTAAACCTTCTCAAATCCCCTTATTCTCTTACCCTTGTGCTCTGTCTTCTAATAATGGCCAACGGAAAGAGATCTCCTTATCCTTCTGGGAGTTCCTCGAGGGTGACTTTGGACCCTCGATTAACTGAGGTGGACGATCAACCGCCTACCAAAGGTACAAGACGGATGAAATCACTATCTCCCGGTCTGTCAACCTGAACATTCTCTCATATCCAGTACTTGATCTGTTTGCTCACACCTTCTTGTGCTTTCTCCTTACTCTTACTGTACCTTTCAACTCTGAGCTTCTTTTTGAATTTTTTGCTAGTCTCCGCATAAATTTTTCCTTTACTTCTCTTGGATCCTATGTGAATAGACATCCTGTCAAAATCACATATCAAGATTGTCAAAAAATTTTGCATCTTTCCACCACAGGAGACAAACTCCACACCCTGTGTTCTGATCCTAACTACGAATGGGCTCCGACCAACCACTTCTTAAGGAACACCAATGCTCACTTTCACATTGGAGAGACTAGCACCATACTCAAAGATGCTAGGATAATCCAACATGTCCTTCACACCTCTATCCTTCCAAAAGCTGGTGATCGCATTCATATTACTCCACTTCTCTCAATCGCTATTTTCTGCATATGTTCTAGAATCAAAATATAAACTCCAATATCATGCACCGCCCAACTATCAGCATGCCTTCTACTCGAACAATTCCTTCCACGTTCTTCACAGTACTCATCTCTACCAAGGAGACAAGGAAGCCGAGGGAGCTACGGAGGAGGATCTCGCTCCTATTCCTGCACCTGCTCCACTCTGCCAGCATTCTCAGTTTGATCAGCTAGTTGAGCGATTTGACCAGTGGGACACACATTTTGAGACTTACGTTACTGCACAGAAGTAGCAACATGCTGAGGACTCAGCCCGCTTTGATTCCTATATGGCACACCAGTAGAGCCAGCACGACCAGGACATTGCCTAGTTTGGAGAGCAATTCGCCACCCTTTTCAGTTACTTTCACCTACCACCACCACCTCCACCTCCATTAGATGATCAGGGGCTATCTTGTTTTAAGTATGTTTTTATGCTATTTTATATTATAATTTGTTTCTATTTTTAGTCTCTGCTTCGTTTATATTTTTAGTCTCTACTTTATTTCTTTTTTATTTTCCTCCTCCTTTTTGTGATATCAAAAGGGCGAGTAGTTAGTTGTACTGCTTGTTCTGTAGTTTGATTTTATTATTGGATAGTTGATCTGTGTCACTCTATTTTCATTAAAATTCCTTGAAATGTTTTGAATATTTTTTGGTTTGCCATCATCAAATAGGGGGAAATTATTGCAAATCTTATTTTATGGATTAGAATTTTGATGATAGCAAATATTCCTATTTTATTTATGACTGTCTTTTCTACTAACATTTTAGGTCCACAAGATCAAGACTGCAATTTAAACTAGCTCAAGATTGGGTAGACTAGGTCTGAGTCAGTTTGTAATTTTTTCCCTTTCTTGAGTCTATTGTAAAATATTTAGTTCCTGATGCTAATTAACCTTTCACACACAAACACTTTGGGAGAATTTCTGAGTGTTTCATAGAGTTTACTATTTTTGGTCACATCGTCCGGGACAATCCATAAATCATCCTAGATGATATATTCAAAACTCGAAACCCTAATTAAGGCATCCTTGTTAAGGTAGACATCATTAAGCATATCATCCTTGAAGATATTTGTATAAATTGGGATGATAGGCTCAAATAAAAAAGAATTAGCCCCCAAATCTATTTATGTATTATTTATTTTTGGACATTGTCCAGGACATCGTCGTGGACAATGCAGCATAATTATGCCTAAATTAATCTGATAATTAATGAAAGAAATTAAGGTTTGATTGCACGATTACATCATCCTGGAAGATTGCAAGATCGTCCGAGATGATCACTTGGATGATTGGACATAGATTTGAAATAGTCGTCCGGGCCGATCATGAGATTGGCCTAGACGATCAAGCAATTTTTTCATCATCATGACATCCTTTTAGTTCAATTATCTGGATGATATTTATCGATTTGTACTAATTATACAAGATGATATATTATTGTCCTAGACGATATGAATAAAATTCTTCTGATCATCCCAAATCATCTTGGCTGATTGGGCTTAATTTGCACTGATCGTACAGGATGATATTTATATCGTCTTGGATGATAAAGTTGGCAAGTTGCAATTAATGAGCTATTCCGAAGCTCTTCTATTTAAGAGCACTTGTTCTATCTTTTAGAACATCTTTTGCTGTCTTGACCTGAGAGAGCCAAGAGGAGAGGGAGAGAGAGAGAGAGAGAGAGAGAGAGAGAGAGAGAGAGAGAGAGAATCTTATGAGAAGGATTTTGTGAGGGGATTCATGATGGTTGCTCCAAACAAGGATCCGTCGTCATCTTCTCCAGTCATCATCCTTAGTTCTTTGGGGGTTCTAGACAGGTCTACTTCAACATCTGATCAAGGTTCTCTATCTAATTTAGGAGGAAATAAAAGGAGTTGGGTTCTCTGCCTATTTCTAGAGGAAGCAAAAGGATTTAGGTTCTCTGACTCACTTGGGTTGGTGGAAAGGAGGTTTGTAAAGGATTCTCCACCTAGTTGTGGGGGCAAAAAAAGAGACACTGAGTTTAGTGCAATACTCAGAGGGCGCCTCTGAGGAGTGGACGGTCATGTTGACTGAACCACTATAAATTTTTGTGTTCTTTATTTTTGCTTCCGCATTAATTTAAACACTTTAATTTCTATGGTGAATCTTGGTTTTTGTTTGAGTTAGTGTTTCTTGATTGAAAGATTTTTAAAATACCAATTCCCCCCCCCCCCCTCTTTGTTAGCCTTGAGATTAGTTCATAAAGGCTTAACAACCCTAACGAACTTTTAGACCTTGCGGATTTCCAAATATTTTCTCTTAGATGTCACATGGCAGTTTTCATTTCATGGATCTCCAAAAGCTTATTTGAATATCATGCTGAGATTTTCATTTTGCGGATCTCTATAGGATCATTTCGATGTCACGCTGAGGTCTTAATTTTTTTAGATTTTCTAGAGTCTATCTCGGTGTCTTCATAAATCTTTAGATGTAATAATACAGTTGACAATCTGGCTTTAGTCAAGTAGAGACTCATAGGATAGTGACATAACACTTCATACTCAGCTCTCTAAAGTGTTACTTTGTAGATTAATGATAGTATATAGTATTGTCACCTTGTGTTATTCTTTTGTCACCACTGCCACCTTAATTTCCATTATTTTTATATATGCTCAATATTTATCATCATTGCAACCATATATAAATGTAACATCTATGTTATATAATTGCAGGTCTTATTTTAGAGTCACCCCCAGCTTTGCAAGTTCACTAGCCAGCAGGTCTTTTGCTGCTTCAGGTTTTCTACAATTTTCTTTGACTTAGGTATACTTTTAGCTTGTGTAGTTTCTTTTCTTTCTTCACTTGTTTATTGATACCCTTGTTTCCCTACACAGGTTTCAGGAGTATAACACTAGTTTGTGAGTTACTGCAGGAGACCTTGGTTTAGGTACAACATTATTTTTACATCTTTATATAAATTTCCATAATCTTTTCTCCTTTTTACTGATGTCTCTGTTGCTTTATGTAGGTCCTAGAGGTGCAGAGTGTCTAATCTTTGGAAGGAGCATAGTGAAGCTCGACTTCCTTTTCAGGCATAAATTTAAGATATAGACTTTAGTCTTCTATGAATGACATTGTACTTTTTTCTTTCCTTGTTATAAACTTGTAAAGAGATGTAATTTAAATTTACATACAAATTTTTTAATCAATAAAATAAAGCGATATTCATTTTCAAATGCTTTTGAGATTCTCCTTTTACTACTGCTCTTATAATTTCTATTGTAATGGTTCTTACTATTTTAAACACTTACAAGAGTTAGTAGGTGTACCCTCTTCATTGTATTTTGATAATATTTATAATTTGGTTGAAAATTTTAAATATTTATTTGAGAATTTTGATATGCTGCATGATGTTGACCCAAATAAATATAAAAAATGCCCCTATCTCTAAGGATAGTTGTGAGCATTGGAGTTTGCTTATTTGAAGCCATCCTATAGGGTTTGAGATCTCATAGCTTACACTCATTCAGTAGCTCTTGATTGAGACTTATCTTTCCCGCTGTAACTTTGACTCTCTAGTAACTTAGGAGAATTTAGTGTACTACGACTACTTAAACTTGTCAAATCCGATTAGCCTTTATGCTTCTTATAGTCCATACTAACGGGATGATAAAATGGGGGTTCATCTACTATGACCTTTCTTATGGCTTTATGCTTCTTATAATCCTCATCCCCGTAATACAGTGGTTCATCTTAGCCATATTTGATCAAAAGCTCATCGATACAGTGTGTCATTGACAAATGCATATTGTAATACTCTCTTTCAGATTTACGTGATTATAGATTTATCTATTGGGAGTTTACTTTCTTTGAAGTAGTTGATCAATGGTTGCCTCCAATCTTCTCCTTCTTCAATATCTAAGCAATCTAATCACGACTTTGAGTTTTGCTGGATTTACGTCTTTTGGCTACATGGTGTTCTTCTGGTTGATTTTAAAGAGTTACTTATTGGGGAGAATGAGGATCAACCAGAGTTATATCCTGTTGGCTTGAATTTGACATTCCCCCAACCTATGGAAATTATAAAATTAATGGCTCTAATACCTAATGAGTGTAGACTCTAACCAGTATAGACTCCTCATCATCCATATTCACCATTTCCTTAAAAATTTTGGCCTGGAAATCTGCTTTGCTATTTTGATATTGAGGAACATGAGCTATCTTAACATTTGACACTTGCTTTAAAAGCTTGAGAGCTCGCCGGTGATAATTGGCCAACTCAAACTTACAAATCTTGTAAATTGCTATAACTTGATTTATCACAAGTTGAGAGTCACCTAAGTTTTAGAGGTTATGGATTCTAATTGAAATGGCAATTTCAAAACCCATTATCAAAGCCTCATATTCAGCTTCATTGTTGGAGCGAGATTCAGTTAGACTGAATGAAAATATTATTATGCCTCCCTTAGGTGATATGAAAATGAGACCAATGCTAGCTCGAGCTTTTGCCATATTTGGAGGCTGGGAAGGTTAATAGAATATGCTCCATCAAAATACATCTCCCAGACTTGTAGTTTCTCATTTTTCTCGATCTGTATGATTTGTTTGTCAGGTTAATCATTGTTAAGAGGAGAATCTGTAAAGATAGGATGCATGATGAGGAAATCTGCTAAGGTTTATCCCTTTACTACTTTTTATGGAATGTATGTGATATCAAACTATATTAGTATCACTATCCATCTGACTAGGAGACCTATCAATATTGGTCTTGACATCAATAACTTCAAGAGATTGATCTTTGATATCAATGTAATTTTATGGGAGAACATATAGTGGCAAAGTTTATGAACCACAAAAATCAACATCAAACAATACTTTTTGAATGAGGAATAACATATTTCTACTCCAATCAGCCTCCAAATAATATAATAGAGCACATTTTCCTTTCCCTGTTTATTGTGCTGGGCCAATAATACTCTAAGAGACTCTTCTAATACTGTAGTATACAGGATTAGAGGTTTCCTTGGAACTAGCACTGTAAGAATGGAAGGATTTAAAATATATCTTTTGATACTATCAAAATCTTCTTGATATTCTGCATCCCCTTTGAAGCGAACATCTTTCTTCATCAACTAGGAGAATGACTCGCACCTACCAGCATATTTGGTATGAATCTCTTAATGAAAGCCAGCTGCCCTTACAACAAGAAAAGTTGACAGGGGTTTTGGGTTGTAAGATCTCCAAAATTATCTTGATTTTATTGAGGTCCATCTCGATTCCTCGGTGACAAACATCGTACCCTAGAAATTTCTCAGATAAGACCCTCAAAGGCACATTTAAAATGGTTCATATTCAGATCAAACTTCATGATACTCTCAAATAAGATTATTAGATCACTCAAGTGATCTTTTTGGTCCATGATCTTAATGACGAGGTCATTCACAAATCACTTAACCTTCTGATGTGTTAATTCATCAAAAAATATGTGTCATTGCCCACTGATAGGTGGCACTAGTATTTTATAGGTCAAATTGAAGGGATGACCTTATTATAGAATATACCAATGGTCACTTTAACAGACATATGCTTTTCATCTTCAAGTACCATCTTGATCTAATTATAGCTCAATGATCCATCCATAAACAAGAACATGCCATAGTTGGACGTAATATCAACTAGAAGTTCTGACACTAGGAGCTGAAAATCATCGTTTGGACATACATTATTGAGGTCTCTATAATCAATACATGCATGGATCTGACCATTCTTCTTATTGACAGGAATGATATTTGTGATCCAATCAGTAGATTCTTCTTCTCTGATGAAGCCCACATATATATGCTTCTTTATTTCTTCAAACATCTAATCTTCAATCTCCAATCTTATTCTCCTTAAAGCTTATTTGACGAGCATTGCATTTGCTTTAATGGCCAATATGGATGAGGGTCCTCTTCTGTCCTCAAGTTGACTTATTTTAGCTCATCCAAAATAGCTACCTATCTACCATCTTCAAGCTTTTCTGGTGCAGGTTTGACTTCTACAGACTGATCATCATAAGTTTCAACTTTGTAGATCTCTCCATCTCCATTGTCATTGAATTTGACTTCCCCGCACATGATCATTTGGAAAATTACCTTTCAGAGGTATTTTTGCATAATGAATACAATACCTTTTCTTACAATAACATCTTTTCTTCGCAACAAGTGAGGATTTCTTTGATACCTGATGCTCATGTGAAAACGAGCTTATTGTTTAGTGGTACTGATATTAGCTCACTTCCGCAATATGCTTCGAATATTTTTGGGATAATACCTATGCATTCTCATAGGTATTATCTCTCTCAAATCAATGAGCTTGATAAATTAGTCACAACTTTCTTCTTCACATTCTCCAAATTTGTATAATAGGCTCCCAAACCGGCCCCTTTGCTAAGAGGATGCACATAAAGTATTTTGATCTCTTGAATATTACGCACCTCTAGAGGGGAGATTTCGTTGAAGTTTTAAGGAGGAAGATGCGTGACCATGAATACACTGTCTAAGACTGACATGCTACAAATTCTTCTTGAGAATACACACTGCACCTTACTCCTGTAGGTATACTTGTAGTCATAATTAGAATCTAAATATTCGGCCTCCTTTTCCCTTAGTCGTTGTTTGGCATGTCTTCTTAGATTTGGTAGGGATGACATCATCTTCGTCAGTATTACTCCCTAGAAGAGGCTTTTTTTTATTTAGAAGCGAAGGTTTTTTTAGGAAGAGTCGATGTTACCTTCTTTCTCCCCACCTTCTTATTTGGGCTGCTTTGCAGCCTTTGAGTTTGACAACTTGGCCTTAAGTGAAGTCAACAACTTCAGCTCCTTTGGAATGAAATATTTCACATCTTCATAAATTTTGAGCTCATGGACTGCAAAGGGCTGGATATCATCTGTAATCCTAAACTCTTATCCATCCATGAGGTACTTCATACACTAGTGTAGTGTTGATGGGATGATGGCATATTCATGCAATCATGGGGGACCTAGAAGTGCCTTAAATGATGTGTCCACATCAATCACATGAAACTTGGCTTCTGTATGAATTTCCCCAAATACAGGGGAGAGTGCGAATGATCCCAGGGTCTTCTATCCCTTTTCATTGAAGTTGGTACCATTAACTTATGTTGTCCATGATGTTGCACATCGAGGCACAACGATCTCAGTTCTTTTAGGCTTCTGAGATTTATGGAAGATCCAGGATCGATCAGGATTTGATTGGTTATAATGTCGTTACTCTACAAAGAAATGTACAAAGGGTGATTATGATATGCCATTCTGAGCATCATGTCATCTTCGATGAAGGTCATGATCGGCTTATTATGGACTTGTAGAACCTTAGTAAAATATGCCTTATATCTTTCGATGTCTTTGACAGTCTGAATCAAAGTCTCTTGAAGGTCTCTAAATATTATAAGAGCATCATATATACTATGTTTTGCCAGGATTTTCCTTAAATGGAATAAGATATTAAAATATATCCCCTTGGTTAAAGTATTCTTCTTCTTAGAGTCCTTGGGGATAATGTCTTCATTTATAATCATTTCCTTCCCTTTTTCTTTATTAGGGACCCCTTTCTTTGGTAGAGGTGGCAGCACCTTATTGCTTTTTAACTACACTTGTACTATCTCTTCTGGCTCAGACTCATTTAACGGAGCATCTTCCTCAAAGTCAGCCATCATATTGTCCAGAGACTCATTTTTTGGTTCAAAATCAACCTCCAATTTCACATGCTCGATTTGTAATGATATTTCATGCTCTAACTCATCTTCATTTAGGAAGTATAGATCCTCTTTTAAATTGTAGTCCATAATTGACACCACCAAACATGTTTTAGAAGCTATTTCTTTGGCATGTTCTTCTTTTGTCAGAGTTACTAGTGTTACCATAATGACCCAGCAAGTCTGCATCGAAATAGAGATCATCATCCTCTTCTACTTCAGTCACCTTAATATCTGACATAAAGTCAAAGAGATTAATGGGATGCCTCACCATTTGGTAGTATTCATCCAAACTATCAATGACCTTTTGAGTTGTCATTTTTTTCTCTTTGAGCTTTTTCAATTTGGTCTTCTTCTTAGAAGACTTTGCCTTTCCAAATTTTGAGGAACTAACTTAGTTAGGGTGTTATTTGGGCATAGATGTACTTGTTGTCAAATTAAGCACCTATGGTGCCATTTGGTAACAA